GGTCAGAGAGGGAGGGGGACCCATCCATTGCCGGGCCTCAATGTTTATTTTGGCAACGAAGCGGGACACCCATCCCTGCTTATTTGTTTTTCTTTCTATTTTCGCAAGTACAGGCGAGCATTTCACTGGAGCCCATTTTTTGAACCTGCTCACACAATATTACATGATTATAAAGCCATCAATTATGCTTGTTGCATGCATTTTCAGCCCAGGCTTGCAGTCAGGTTAGCACAAGTGCCTAATGATGTTGTACTACTCATACCGCCACATCAAAGGGGCCTGACATTTCCGTAATGTGCCTTATTAAGCATCGATGTTCTAAAATACACTCAGCATTAAGTGTAGAAAAAAAACATTTCGGCCTGTGTAATGAATTATTAAATGACATGCATTCTAAAGGCAGACAGTAATGACAGGAGACTATGGAGAGATTCAGTACTTGAAACTCAAAGTGAATTGTGGTTATGTGTAAACAAACGCAATTATGTCCAACAGATATTCTGAGAACTGCTCCTGTAACGTTGATAAGATCACACTGACTGCACACGTTATTAATTACAGTTTTTGTGCTTATTTGCTAAAATTAATGTTTAAAAAGTGCATGCTTTTATTTATTGGTGCATATCGTTTCACGTTTAACCTATGAGATTGCATTTATAATTTATTATTGTCTGTCGAGAAGGATCACGGTGAGTAAATGAATCAATAGACATACTAATTATATCACAATTTAGTCCATCACCATATGCACCTTATGGACCAACGTTTTTTTTTTTCCCCCCAGCATCATTAGTTTAGACGGGCAAAATCTTGACAGGCTTCCAAATTTGCGAGCGCCGTCAGCAGAGTAAGGCATGAACACGTTGTTGGTTCTCAATTGCCTCGGACAGCTTTTAACCTAGAGATTTCCCATCAGAACCCTTCGTACGTGGACGAAAATAGTGGCCTTGTAAATTACCTTCATTGAAACTGGCATCTCTAGCAAGTCCTTCTGGGCTTCGTGCACGAGAGCTTTCCTTTCAGTAACACCGCAACGAGATGCCTTCACACCCTGTGGCTGCAGCAGCAGCTCAAAGTGCGGATTCCCTTTGCATGAGCGGCAGCGGTGCTGAAAAACAACGGAGAGTTTGATTAATCGTGTTGACGAGCCAGAGTGATCCTCAAAAGTGAGGCAGCTGCCCACCCTTGATGGCGATGTTGTACTTGCACAGCGCGCTGAAGTGTGGCTATAGGGCTCGTGACGTTTGCGACTCGAGAAGTATATTTTTAGTCATCCCGCTGCAGTGTAGCATGGCCCTTGTTCATCCCAAATAATGGCCCTGGCTGCTTCCCGGCTTGCAAACAACCCTCCCTTAAGCCCTGTCACAGCAGCCACGTGTTCGCACCTTGTTGGTCGAGTGGTCAGCAATGATTAGAGGGCATCTGCTGATCCTGCTCATGTTCTGCAATCAAAATGAATTGGTACCTATGCCTTTTTTTTGCTCATCAGTGAAATTGTTGTTATGAGCAATAATCTATTATAAACTAATGATCCGCATCTAATCCGGCGTTCGTTGGCCTGTAATTGCACGCCACACCTAATGCAAACACTGGCCAGGTGCTGTGCCCAAAGTCTGGGACATTCGTGGTAAGCACTCTTATTTACTTCTCAGCGTGATTTTAAATCACGCTGCGGTAAACGTATGCCAGTGCTTATTAAGCCCACCAGGAATACAACAAATGTTTTTTTTTAAAGCACACGTTCTTCAAGGAGAGTTGTTGGTTTTATAATATTTGAGTCAGGAGGAGTCTGTTATGTTTGTGTACCGTGTGTGTGTGACGACATTGCACGGGTGTTAACATGTTTTAAAGATGCCCCGCAAGGAGAGTGGAATTGCGAATTGCTTGCCCATCCGTTGTTCATTTCTGAATTGCTCCTGGACAAAATAAATATAGTGCATCGCCTGTGTTTTACTTTTGGCGTATGCACCGTCGAGTGCTGTGTGGTCTGCAGAAAAAATGTCATTCCGTGCATTTTATTTGTATGTTCACGAACTAAATTTGTCCAAGAATGCGAAAGTGCACTATTTACGTTTTTTTTTACTTTGGTGCACGTGCCGCTGAGCGCTTTGTGGTCTACACAAACGCCAAATCGTGCGCCACCTTGCCATCATGCTAAATGATGCAAAGTGTGCTACGACATTAACATTCATGCTAGCGTTCAAGAAAATGTAATTATAAACATTGCATGCTCAAAGAAATATATCATGCACGGAAAATTCCACACGGCTATCCGGAGTGCATTTTCAAATTGATCTACCATGACCTTAAGCAGCATCACCTTCCAATGTGACATGGGCAACATGAATTAAATACAGCAGCTCCAGCGTCAATTACAGGCTCACCATCCTGTAGCTTTAACCCTTCAAATCAAGAAGAGGTGGTACTTGGTCAGTGCTTGGATGGGTGATCACAGGATATATTGGCCGCTCTGGCGAAGTAATATTGCATCCTCACTTTGGGTGACATTGCTTTCAGGTTTTGTATAGGTCATCAGCTCTCCCTGCACAGCTGTGAGGCTCATGCTAACGTATAAACGTGCGTTTACAGTATTTGGCTGCTATACATTTCCACGTCATAAGCCACTTCGTTGAGCGATTATTTGGGCCAGATCGCTGCTGAAAAATAGCTCAGTGGACCTTGCCTGGTGAAATAAAAAATAGTTCATAGTTAAAACGTCGCTTTTCGTAGCCAATACAATGATCCTTGTTTGGTTATTAGACCACTAGGTACAGTACTGTGTGGCCTAATCCAAAAATAAATGTTGATCAAGGCTTACAGTGAGGGAAAAAAGTATTTGATCCCCTGCTGATTTTGTACGTTTGCCCACTGACAAAGAAATGATCAGTCTATAATTTTAATGGTAGGTTTATTTGAACAGTGAGAGACAATAACAACAACAAAATCCAGAAAAAAATGCATGTCAAAAATGTTATAAATTGATTTGCATTTTAATGAGGGAAATAATTATTTGACCCCTCTGCAAAACATGACTTAGTACTTGGTGGCAAAACCCTTGTTGGCAATCACAGAGGTCAGACGTTTCTTGTAGTTGGCCACCAGGTTTGCACACATCGCAGGAGGGATTTTGTCCCACTCCTCTTTGCAGATCTTCTCCAAGTCATTAAGGTTTCGAGGCTGACGTTTGGCAACTCGAACCTTCAGCTCCCTCCACATATTTTCTATGGGATTAAGGTCTGGAGACTGGCTAGGCCACTCCAGGACCTTAATGTGCTTCTTCTTGAGCCACTCCTTTGTTGCCTTGGCCGTGTGTTTCGTGTCATTGTCATGCTGGAATACCCATCCACCGTCAAACACCTCCATGTTTGACGGTGGGGATGGTGTTCTTGGGGTCATAGGCAGCATTCCTCCTCCTCCAAACAAGGCGAGTTGAGTTGATGCCAAAGAGCTCCATTTTGGTCTCATCTGACCACAACACTTTCGCCCAGTTGTCCTCTGAATCATTCAGATGTTCATTGGCAAACTTCAGACGGGCATGTATATGTGCTTTCTTGAGCAGGGGGACCTTGCGGGCGCTGGAGGATTTCAGTCCTTCACGGCGTAGTGTGTTACCAATTGTTTTATTGGTGACTATGGTCCCAGCTGCCTTGAGATCATTGACAAGATCCTCCCGTGTAGTTCTGGGCTGATTCCTCACCGTTCTCATGATCATTGCAACTCCACGAGGTGAGATCTTGCATAGAGCCCCAGGCCGAGGGAGATTGACAGTTCTTTTGTGTTTCTTCCATTTGCGAATAATCGCACCAACTGTTGTCACCTTCTCACCAAGCTGCTTGGCAATGGTCATGTAGCCCATTCCAGCCTTGTGTAGGTCTACAATCTTGTCCCTGCCATTCTTGGAGAGTTCTTTGGTCTTGGCCATGGTGGAGAGTTTGGAATCTGATTGATTGATTGCTTCTGTGGACAGGTGTCTTTTATACAGGTAACAAGCTGATATTAGGAGCACTCCCTTTAAGAGTGTGCTCCTAATCTCAGCTCGTTACCTGTATAAAAGACACCTTGGAGCCAGAAATCTTTCTGATTGAGAGGGGGTCAAATACTTATTTCCCTCATTAAAATGCAAATCAATTTATAACATTTTTGACATGCGTTTTCTGGATTTTGTTGTTGTTATTCTGTCTCTCACTGTTCAAATAAACCTACCATTAAAATTATAGACTGATCATTTCTTTGTCAGTGGGCAAACGTACAAAATCAGCAGGGGATTAAATACTTTTTTCCCTCACTGTATCTTGCTGTAGAACGTGTGCCATCCCAGTCCCATGGCCATTAAATCCCATGGCACTCTGCAATAATATCAGAGGCATTGACCCCCAATGTTCTGGCTAAAATCCACCAGCCGAGCAAACCTCCCTGAGGTGTCGAATAAAATGTATTCTTAACCGAGTGCATCTTGTTTACATTACTGTAAGCAAGATGCATTGATCTCGGTCGATATTCACCCCACAGAGGTCTGTACTGTACCTCGTATGCTTCGTACAATTTAATGGAGTGCAAAGAGAAATATCCTCGACGACAAATTAAGGGCTTGTTGCTTATTTTAATTTACATTCCAAGCACACGTTGACTCCTTAAATATACACATTACTACAAAATAATATTTTTGATTAGTTGTGCAAATATATTTTGTTTATCTAGGCCAGGAACCCATGGAGTTCTAATTCCCAATGCAATCTTATTTATGTGAGGACAGTTATATTTTTGAGGTAATTGAGTTGAGAATGCTTGATTATAAACACAATCAAATTTACATATACAGTATTTTACAGATCGGAGCGTGTTAGCTCAGCCTACAATACCTCTGGAGGCAATGGAATAAATGCCGTGTTACTTTGTGGGGAATGTGGAATTTCCACCACTGACTACCATGGCGGGCACCAACAGTGTTTGTCACATTCCAAAACTCACCGCCGCTTTGCGTTTTGGTTTGTCTTATTCAGGAATACATGCTGGTGAAGCTCTGAGAGGAAGGAATTTGATGGCGAGCGCTTGGGATGTACAGAACCGCACGGGCTCCTTCATCCCGGCAGGCCCAGGCTCCGAGGCCAGGCCCCGCGCGAGAGGAGGGGGCGCAGGAGGAGGTGGAGGAGGGGGAGGCGGGCCACGCAAGGAGCGGCCCAAGAGCAGCGCCGGCCCCGAGTCCGCCGACAGCAGGCTCCACCGCAAGGCCCGCTCGGCCAGCCTGGAGGCCGGCACGCGGCCCTGGCGCGGTAGCGCCAGCGGGGAGTCGCCGGAGCCGGGCGCGGGGGGCGGAGCCCACGCGGAGCGCGCTGGGTCGGGGGCCCCGCCGGCCCGACCCGTGCGCAGCAGCACCAGCGGGGAGTCGTCTGGGCCCGAGAGGCGAGGTGGCGGCGGCGGCGGCGGCGGCGGCAATCCGGGCCGCCCACGCAGCAGCTGCAGCGGGGAGTCCGCGGGGCCCGAGCGCTCGGGCCGCGAGTCGCCGTCCTCATCGTCGCGCCCGCGGTGCCGCCCGCTGAGCAGCGCGAGCGGGGACTCGTCCGGCCTGGAGCAGCGGCGGGAGCCCTCCTCGTCGTCGCCCGAGGTCCTCGAGCCCTCCTGGGCGACGGACGGCGGCGGCGGCGGCGACGACGACGACGACGACGACCCGGCCGCCGCCGCGGACGCCTCCGTCACGGCCCTCGCCAGCTTCGGCGAAGACGCGCGCATGCAGTTCGCCAACAGCCGCCTGCACCTCGACGAGGAGGACGAAGAGGAGGAGGAGGAGGATGAAGAGGAGGAGCCGGAAGAACTGAAAGAGGAGTGTCACTACGACGCGGGTGCGGCGGCGGCGGCGGCGGCGGCCGCGGCAGGCTCCGCGCCGCGCTCGGCCTCAAGCTGCACGGCCGGCGGCAGTCCGGACGGGGCCCGGGCGGCACCGCTGCCACTCCCGGAGGCCATGGAGAGGGAGTTCGCGGCCGGGATGCACATGCAGCGGAACCGCACCTCGGGGGGCTTCCTGGAGGGCCTCTTCGGGTGCCTGAGGCCCGTGTGGAGCATGCTGGGACGGGCGTACACCACCGAGTACAAGGTGCAGCAGGCAGGTCGGTGTCCTTCGCGGCTTTCTTTAAACGCACGGGCGGCCCTGGCGTGGCCCCCGTCAAAACGTGTGTGGAATTATGTCCAATGCCAGCTTCACTTCTACTCAGTTGCCCATTCTCTTCCCTCCCCTCGCCCCTCCACTCCATCCCGTCCCTCCCCTATAGCTCTTTTGTGACCCCCATGTGCCCTCTGTTGCAGTCACTCATTCCTTGGCTCTTGCACTGCCCCCGGCCATCTTATTCACTAACAAAAAATTCCCGCTTTTAAACTCTGTAAAGCGCCTTGAGCTAAGGCGCTATTTAAATGTAAAATAGTGTGTATCACGTCTGTTGTAGCCCAGCTATGAGTTAACGAAGTGCGTGTCCTTGAAAATTGTCTCCTTTTACATAAATGCCTCCTTTGCCGTTAGTCGCCGAGCTTCTGAAATCTGTCCTGGCAATCTTCAGCCGAAATATCTCTCTTACTTGCGCCTTAGTCAACAATCGCTTGAATGTCCTCAGTGTATTCATAATGAAGTGCCTTGCAAAGATAATTTTGACACGTTGCACGCTCTGCGAGGGGCTGAGTCTGATTTCTCGTGGCGTGACGACTCTCAAGAGTGCAAAGGTCACGTGGGTAGTTGACTGCTCGTGCGATCGTTCTGCTGGATCGTGTGATTGCTGGCACCTAGTCCTGGGACAGATGTACACCCAAAAAACCCCTTTGTATTTTACCATGGAAGACCCACTGAGCTGATTAGTTCTTTTCCAGAAGCGACCTGGCCACAAATGATAATCCAACGAAGTGGTTTATCGCGTGGAAATTTATAGCAGAAAAAATACTCCAAAATGCGTGTTTCTAAATGTGGAGGGTAAAACTGGAGGACCCAGAGAAAATCCACGTCAGGGTCAGGATCGAACCCACGACCTCCTGTATATCAAGCGAGGTAGTTAACATTTCGCCACCACGGCTCCCAATGAAACAATGGTTCAATGTTCATATTAGCGCAACGTGCATCACATTTAAATAATCCATTGGATTTATTTAAAAGCCGCCACAGTTACGAAAAATACGAGTTTAACAGGTTTTGATTAAAAAAGTGTCGCGGAACATGCTATGTCTACGCATTACGTAAAACTTAAGTCACATTACACATCTGTCCAGGTGATTTTAAACTTCAGTTCCTGTTTTTAGAACCTGGCATAAATCAATTGTGGAAATTCTTATTTTTTCCTTAATGAGCTCCAAACACGTCTTCCTCGGCCAAATACACTCCAGCCTAAAACAATTTTTCAGCACCATTAAAATGCGTTGCATAATAATATTGTGTGTGTGCGTGTTCATCCAAAATGTGTGCATCTGCTGATCTGTGCAAAACAACTTTATCGTACTTAGCCGGGCGGGCGATACCGGCAGCCAGGGTTGGCGGATCGCACCAATGTTCTGAAACTCCCTTCCCCGTAGTCGTGAAGGAGGAGCCGTACCCTGGCCCGCAAGAAGAATGCGGCGCAACACGCGTGGAAGCTCCATCTGTTCCATCTGTATGGGATAGTTTGGCCCCCTTGAACACGTAGGTTTTCTCCCACACGTAAAAAACATTAATTGGCCGATAACACCTTTGTATGTAGAGGACGACAGAGCTTGGGAGATAATTTTATTCACTTCTTGGCTGCCTTTCCGTATTGTTTGTGGTGCCTCGCACCTCTGTGCCGGTTTCTCTATCTCTCTCTCTCATCCAGAGCTAGTGCACGTTGCAAATCGAAATAACGACAATTGTAATGTCACCGTCGCTTTTGCAGAGACGACAGATGTTCGGAGGTGATGCAACTGGAGCCGTTTGGTTTTGATTCTGAGTGTTTGCACTGAAATGTGATAACCCCCGAGCCGCCTGTTTCTACATAGTGCAGTGCTAAAGCCTGCCCAAGGTGCAATCATGCAACGCGCGTGATTTAACCACGGCAGCAGTCGCCTCCGGTGAGAAATTCACGATGGCATTCATCATCGGGCAGTGGCTCAGTGGTAACGCTTGGGTCAAGTTCTGTGTGGAGTTCTTCCCCAACTCTGCATGGGTTTCCTCTGGGTTGACTGGTATCCTTCCGGGAAATAAAACGAAATCTGAAGATGAAATGTAACTGCTATTGATGTCGGTTGCAGGGAGCTTGTTCCCCATCTTTCTAGCCCCTGCTTTTCATAACCGGTTTAGGCTTATGTTGACGGTGTGTGTGTGTGTATATGCGTCACAACGTGATGCATTGGGCCCGCACATTGCCTCAATAAATATAACGATATATGTATTTTTTTTAAATGTAACTGGTATTTACCAAATATCCCAATGCTGAAAAATGATCGACAATTTACTCAACTGGGATTGCACAGCAGCAAAATGATCCCTCCCCCTTCCTGGAACAAATGTGGCAGGACCCTCATGAAAACGTCCTGAGACTCCGTGAGGGTTTTCTGGGTAAACAAGAGTAAAATAAGAAATATATTTTAAATGCTGAGTAATTTATTTAAATATGCATTTGACCTTTAAAACTCGGTGCGCTTTCTACAAATACCGCAGCAGTTATCGATGATATAAGGCATCACAATAATGTTGGTTCAGTGAACTTGCACAGTGCAATGAATGTCAGATTGAGCACAAATAAAGACAGGTTTGTTTTAGCCCAATTTATAAGAATTAAAATTGTTGATATTTCAAATGTTGCACTTGTTGAATAATATTAGCATTATCCGCAGAGCCAATACAATGCTATTGAAATAAATGTATGTTAAGGGGATTCATATAAAACCGAGGCTTGGGCAACTGTGCCTTTTGCTTTAAAGTGAATGTGTGAGAGACAATATTGTTTGCTTTGAGTTGACCATGATGAGGGGTACCTGGGTGACTCACAGAGGCGAACGCTGTGGCTTTGAGGTAACCAGTGATATCCTTGGATTTAAATCCCGGGTTTCAGTCACTTTTCTGCGATCGAACCCATTTCTCAAGTGTAACAAGTTGATGATGGTTTTGACCTGGCGATCAACTGACTCCAGGGAAGAATGTTACTGTACTCTCCGTTTGTATGCCACTTCCATCAGCACATTCCTAGCTTTGATTATTAAACTTGGGAGTGGCTTCAGAAGCCCGTGTTGTCACATCCTCTCCCAGTATGCGTGTGTGTGTACTGTAGCCAGGTTGCTCCTAGGTGGCCAAACGTCCGCATGGATACCACTGCATGTGAAACTAAGTAATTGAGACTCAGGGATAAATGACAATACTGCTTTTTTTTGGTCTTTTTTAAATTCAGAATTTGGCCCAATTTTACACAGAACCCACGTTCTGCTTTCATATCTTAGTCGGCCTCTCTAATCACTAAAATCACAATGGGTACTCGAGCAGCCGGACAATAGAACGAGGTGTGAACTTGCACAATGACCTTCCTACCACCAAAATTGTGTGAGAAATCACGAATACACCTCCACTCAAAACGCTTCACCCCGCAATACGGTCCACTCTACTGCGACCCCACCAGCACCACCCAGGCAGCTGTGCGGCATGCCATGCTGGCATTTTAAACACGTGGAGCAAAATTCTGGGGTTCACAAGCAATGGACGCGTAATGTACAGTGAACATTGGAAGGAGAATCACAACTTTTCCAAAAAATGTACCAACAACACCAATGTTGGGCTTGTTTATAAGACTTCTCGTACGTAGCTTTACGTCTTTGTGTCTATATTTCCCGAACCATTGGTAGCATTAAATCCTGGAAGGGGCATCACAGACTGTTCTGTTAAACTTAGCGTGTAAATTACTGCATTGCTGGGCATCTGTTGGGCAGTCACAGATACCGCGTGGCTGCCTTTGGGGCTGGTGTGGGCCGGTTGGCATGTGAATGAGGTTAGGGCTGGCCATGCAGGGCCTTGTGAATGTGTCAGCTCGGCAGTTCTGGGGCGACAACTGCCCAGCCGCAAATCGTAGATTGCGGCGCTGTTCTGTGCAGCCACAATTGTAAACGGTCTCTTGATCAGCCCAATGAAATAAAATGAAGATTTATTGGAGGTTCTTGCCGAGATTCTCAGAGGACCTGTATAGAATTCTTGCTGACACTCCCAAGCTGCCGTCTAAAATTTCCATGAAACACTGAAAGTGCTCATAAAAAATGCATATGCTCTTTAATCAGCTGAAACTGTGCGGATCGTCATCAACAGCCAAGATCAATCCACTGTGGGATGGAAAGCCTCGCATGCCAACAGCATTCTTTGCGATGCAATAATCCATCTTGCTCCTGCACGTGGGTTAAACTCATTGCTTCGTGTCTCCTTGGTGGGTGTCCCCTTGGGTTTTTGCCCATTTTTGCTGCTATGTTATCACCAGCCTCCCCTATCAGCCCCAGCATACGTCTTGCCCAAGCCCACTTATTTTTCTCAAGTCAATATACTGTCTCTACTTTGGATTCGTTCCCTGGAACCGTGTGCTCATTCTGTCTCTCAGTCAAATTCCAAACGTGTGTTTTTGTTGTCGTTCCAATGTAATGTAATTTATATTTAGAGAACACCTTCGCTCAAGGCACCTGGCGTAGCTTAGAAAACGATGACGGAATGGAGTGATCCAGTTGACTGGAGCATACAAGGATCACGAAAGGCAAGGGGAGGCACGGGAAGGAGTGGAGGGACGAGGGCAGAAAAGGGGAAGAGAATGGGCAATAGATAAGAGGTGAAGCTTTGCTCGTTTCCACGTTTCCACGTACACGTTTTTTTTTCGGATTGAAATTCCGAACGATGTCCTTCCTGCGTGCTCAGTTCCACTGCGCGATCTCCTAGTTGCGACGTTCGTGTGGCAAGGAGCGAGGTTCGCACCACTTCCAACAGCTGCCGTTTTCAGAATCTTTGATTAATCGTGAAGCACGATTAGCTTTGAAGCTCTTTTTCACAGATGTCCAGTTAGGGGCTGCTCAGAAGGCTACAACAACGAACGATCGCAATACATTCGTTCCTCGGTTAGCAGAGACATCGGTTAATGGTTTTTCGTTTCATGTTTCA